AAAATTGTTTACTTTAGATTGTAATATTCTAAAATACAAATAATACATTGTGTTTTGGGGAAAGGCTTATGCAAGTTGCAACGGGTAAAAGAGTCCACAGAGTACAATGTATTGTTTGTATTTTAGAATATTACAATCTAAAGTAAACAATTTTACTTATTGAAATATTATATTTAAACTTAAATTTTGTGAACCATTTGGAATAATAGGACCACTATAACAAATATGTGAACCTTATGTCAGAAAATATCTTTTTCGGGTAAATGTATATTTAGAACATGTGTGTGTAAAGTCAGTAGATCACACAATTAAGTATTTTTTTATATTCAAAATTCACAGGATATTTACACATACAAAATCTGCGAATTTTATGTTAAAAAACATTTTCTTCTGCTAGGTCTATATTTTGGAACATATATGTGATTGTTCACAGACGCGTGACCAATAACAGTGAGTTAATAGTGAGTTGGTTTTAATGCCTCTTGGAACAGCTGCTTCAAGTCAAGCATCCAGCGATGCAGGTCGTACACGTACAACCCAACCAAGGGTCATGTCTGGTATTCGAACCCAGACCCATCGGAGTGAGTGAGTGAGTGAGTTGGGTTTAACGCCGCTTTTAACAGTATTCCAGTTATATTGTGGCGTGTCAGCTTAATGTGGGAGGAAAGCCCGAAGTGATGCAGGTCTCAGATGTTTACCACTTCGGTGAAACCCACGAGCACGGGTATGGTGCTGACAAACCTAGAAACATAACTAGGGCGAAGCGGGATTGGAACCCACAATCATAGGTTTCTGACATGCCCAAGGGACGCAACTCTGCACAGCGAATCGCGGCGCCTTAGACGACTGGGCCACCCGTGCCCCCCAGACCCATCGGATTAGGATAGATTAGGATCACAACAACACCAAACTTGACTACCAATGGCTCTTGACTGATACAGAGTATACAGTTAAACTATTGCTGAAACGACCGCCTCGGTAATGTAGCGTCTATCCGGAGGCGGTAGGTCGATGATTCGATCCCCTGGCCGCGTCATATCAAACAGCGTTAAAAGATGGTACTTGTTGTAACCCGCTCGACATAAGGGGCTAAAACAAGGACCGGTTGGCTCGAAATCAGTATACTGTGTCCGAGCGAGGTATTCATGTTTAGCTAGGCATGGTATCTCAGTCGGCTAGCACTATAATACCGGACTACTACAAGCAGTCACACACACACATCAAACACATGTCGCTATGTCAGTGAAATGATCTTGAACGCGACGATAAACCTAATTCCACCCCACCTGTTGCTGAAACCTAAGAGTTGTAAAACCGTGGAATCATAATGTAATACAGATGCTATAAAAGGAAAAGGGACCGGTGTCTTTTGTCCCAGACAGAATATCTTATCGGCCAAGACCTATGGGTTTTTTTCTGTGAAAAAAGGAGGCAAATTTTTCAGCAGTATTTTCTGGAACGAATTTCCCAGAGTGTCAAATGGTCGGCGCCTACCCGTAACCACGGCAACGGTAAATATCCCCATGTATATATTATGCACTTGTGGTTTGTTAAACATAACAGTACAGTAAACTACGGTCATAACGAACTCAAAGGGACTACTAACTTTAGTTCGTTATAAGCATATATACAGCAAAACTTCAGCATATAGTCGGGACTAAAAAGTTAGTTCGTTATATCCGTTAGTTCGTTATAAGCGTGTTCGTTATAACCGTAGTTTACTGTATATCCCATGGACGGAGTGAGGAGCGGGATTCAAAACAGTCCCAGATCTTGTACAATGCATAAGTTCATGAACAGTCAACGGGACTTCTGACAACAGCCTGAATGGTTTGATATTTGATCACATTAAGGCTTTCAGCGAGCTCACATTTAATGCCGCATCAGCAATTTCTTCATTTATTGTTATAAGGACCTTTGTAAGGTGCTGATGGTGATCTAGAAACATTTAAGTTGAATCTAAACCCATGATCTTCGGTTTCTGGTACACCTAAGGGACGCAACTCTTCACAGCGAATTGCGTCGTATTGCCACTCCACCACTTCTTTTGCCACAACATGAGACAACACTGCCGGTAGGATTAGCAAAACCATTCAAGGTGAACACGAGCAGAGAATCTCATGGCTGGCACACAGTCGTGCCCACTTGTCCCGGGACATCTTCCCGAGGCAAGGGAGTTAACTTACTATAAAAGTCCAGTTTCCACCCTTGTCGAACTAGGCTGGAACTTCCAGGCTCGATCGTAGCGCCACCAGTGGAAACTGGACTTTTATAGTCAGTTTACTCTCTTGCCTCGGGAAGATGTCCCGGGACAGCAGGCTGCGGAATGGTTGTGGATTAATGGGTTAAAACAGTGAGCAAATATTTCAATAAGCAAATGACTTCAAGCATGTAGAGTTAGAACTCGTACACAATATAAACAAGACATACAAAACAGTCAAATAAAAACTTTTAAGGAAAGACATTGCATTCCACGGACGGACTTATGATATGATATGAATTGACAGTTTAGGCATCTATGACGTGTTTCAAACAGAATACTGTGTTTCTGACAGCATAAAGAAGATAACATCAATGCTTGTTGAATTGGGCTTCAATGGTAAACAAGACGCATCAATGGTAAACAAGATGCATCAATGGTAAACAAGACGCATCAACGGTAAACAAGACGCATCAACGGTAAACAAGACGCATCAATGGTAAACAGGATGCATCAATGGTAAACAAGACGCATCAATGGTAAACAAGATGCATCAATGGTAAACAAGACGCATCAACGGTAAACAATACGCATCAATGGTAAACAATACGCAGAGAATGAAATAACTTAGGGGGGTAGGGGGGTTAAATATTTCATTACAACTATGAGCCTGTAAAAATAACTTCTAGCAACAATGTGGTTTTTTGTGTCTGACAACTTCTATTTTAACAACAGTGAAAAATAAAATTTAATATTTAAGATAAAAATAATTCTCTCTCACTACTGGTGCTATTCCACCATGTAAATATCGTATCACATAAAATCGTATACACACACATATATGTATATACAGTAAACTACGGTTACAACTCAAATATCACACACACACACACACACACACACACACACACACACACACACACACACCAGGATATGAAATCACTTAAGATAACAGCCATTTCTTCAAACTGTGCTTAATAAAAATGACCCTCTTTTCATAAAATAACGTATCATTGCTATACACTGGTAAAATTCAAGATTTAATTAATATTATTAACACACACAATAGAAATACGCAGTAAATATAAAATAAAACGCAGAAAAATCACTTAAACATCCGTGTCAGCAGCTATTTCAAACTGTGCCTACAGAGGTGACACCGCTCTTGTATAACGTATCAGTGCCATGCATTGGTGAACTCATTCTCACAACACGCGAAGATATGAAACTACTTATGGGCATTCGTATCAGCAGTTTCTTCAGTCTGGGCCAATAAGCGTGACAGAAAGAAAGCAAAAAGGGCAATCATCACAAAGCTACAATGGCAAACATCACAAACATCATCTCATCTACAAAAGATACTGCCGACATTTTATTTTGGCTGTCTTAATCTTTGTGTCCAGATGGCGTCATTCAAGTATGATAAGAACACACTGGATAGTGAGTGAGTGAGTGGGTTGGGTTTAACGCCGCTTTTAACAGTATTCCAGTTATATCACGGCGTGTCACCTTAATGTGGGAGGAAAGCCCGAAGTGATGCAGGTCTCAGACGTTTACCACTTCGGTGAAACCCACGAGCACGGGTATGGTGCTGACAGACCTAGAAACATAATTGGGGCGAACCGGGATTCAATCCTAGGTTTCTAGCGTGCCAAAGGGACGCAACTCTGCACAGCGAATCGCGGCGCCTTAGACGACTGGACCACCCGTGCCCCCCACTGGATAGTACAGTGTCGAGTGTATGTATAGATATGAAAGGTAAGGCCAAACTTTTTTAATTTTAGGTTTCACGGATTTATTCCAGCTTTTCCATACAAGGTCGGTCGAAACATGAAAATAAATAAATAGCAATATCAATAATTTATTTATTTATATGAAAGTCATTCTGCCGTGGAGTTAACACTGCAGCAGGGTTCTTGATTCACTAATAGTAATGTAGACATTGAACTTATATGTAACATTTTATATTGTATAAGAGGCAGGGTTAGAAATTGGCACTAGTCCTGTAGTCCTTGCCAAACTGCCCAATGATAAAGGTATCATAAGGACGAGTAGAAAATTGCCTTTTTAATGGTTTTGCTATGTGTTATCATTATAAGGAGTAGTGGACGAAAACTGTTAGATTCTGTCGCTGGGAGGGTCAATATTATTAGCAGGAGACATAATATAAATATATATTTTAATGTTTAATCTATTAATTTTCCAGCTGGTTGTCAGTTGGGTCGGCGGGTCCGTGAAACGAAAAATTAAAAAAATGTGTGGCCTTAGTTTGATTTAAGTCCGCTTTTAACAGAATGTCATTTCGAGGCGTGTCAGCTTCACGCGGGAGGTAGGACAGAAGTGATGCAGGTGTTAGGAGTCTACGCTTCAGATGAAACCTAAGGGTTGGCACTGACAAACCTAAACGCACAATCAGGGCGAACCGGGATTCAAACCACGATCATAGGTTTCTGTCACGCCTCGGGGACGCAACTTTGCCATCTATTAACAATTAAGAAACATCTACCTATATACATTGTTCTGATTGATGTTGGTTCATTGAATACATAATAATTATCCTTCTCTGCGATATCAGGTTTGACATGTCGTTTCAAACCGGACAACACAGGAAGCCTCTGTCAATATGAGACGTCTCAGTGAGTGAGTGAGTTGGGTTTAGCGCCGCTTTTAACATTATTCCAGTTACATCACGGCGTGTCAGCTTAATGTGGGAGGAAAGCCCGAAGTGATGCAGGTCTCGGACGTTTACCACTTCGGTGAAACCCACGAGCACGGGTATGGTGCTGACAAACCTAGAAACATAATCGGGGCGAACCAGGATTCGAACCCACAACCATAGGTTTCTGGCGTGCCCAAGGGACGCAACTCTGCACAGCGAATCGCGGCGCCTTAGACGACTGGGCAACCCGTGCCCCAACGAGACGTCTCAATTGCCAAGGCATTAGCCCAGAAGGAATTACTACACGGGGACTCAGAGAGGACAGACACACACTGGTTATAGGGTACTTGTTGTCTTCCATTATTCAAACCTTAAACTGCATCCCACTAAAAGTGGAAACCCGTTTCGTCTTGGTTTTATCACAGGACTACCACATCAAGATTAAACAAATGTGAATATGTCAATGATTTGTCAACGGCTAGTCTTTTTTAGTTCTCCTCTTGTTCATGCTGGGCCTCCAACCGCCTGCGGCGACTCCTGCGGGCCTGCAACTTTTCCTGCAAACCCTGTTCCATCCGGGCTTTGTTCGTCTGTTGAGCCTTTGTGAACTCCGTCATCTCCTGCTCGTGCTGTTTCTTCAGCTCAGTGATGTTACCTAGGCAACAGATGCGAGAGTTAAGACATATACTGGTTAACATAGAAAGAGTGATTGAGTATAATTTCACGCCGTTTTAGCAATAATCCAGTTACATCACCAGAAATGTGTTTAACAAATTGTAGCCATGTAGGGAATTGAACTCTGGTTTTCGGCGTGACGAGCGAACGCTTTAACCACGTGGCTACCCTACCGCTTAGAAAAGAAATAGCAAACAGTCGGCCTGACTATTGAGTTCATGTAGGCGTTGTCTTTAGCAGAGATTACTCAGGATTAAGGAAAGGGCTTCGTCGCTTTTGTTTCCAGGGATAGGGCGTTGATTAAGGCTCGTGGTCAAAGCGTTTGCTCGTCACGTAGGCCGGGGTACAATGTACGAGTCCATTTATGGTGCACCGCACCGAGATGATGGAATAGTGCTCAAAGGAGCGTAAAGCTATACTCACGCACCCACTCACTCACTCACTCACTCACTCACTCACTCACTCGGTGGAGGGTTAGGGTGAACATAGTATGTCACAACTGTTATATGTAAACGGTTGAATATGGTTTCATGTTCATTATGTCTGATAATGTTGGAATTTGTTTCCCATGTACCATGTAGGGAATCGAACCCGGACCTTCGGCTGACGAGCGAATGATTAAATCATTATCCTAACCGGTCTCCACGTGACTGAAAATACGTAAACACAGCCAGTTCCGACGCTATTCACGTGCATATTGCACGCAACCTCGCATTCTTAAGTGAACTCGGCAAAGCACGTCTTACGCCAAGCGACAGATTCCCTAATAACGTACTGATTAAACACTTTTGTTTTGCCATTCAAAAATCTAGGCCCGTTTAAAAAAATAACCTCAGCGCTGAGACGATCGTAACGCCAATACTTTAACACAGATTTAAAATAATCCCTGGGTCCGTTCCACAAAGTTATCGCAGTGCTTAGGTGATCGTAACTTTAACATAGACTTACGACTGTCGTTGAGCTTCGATCCTTTGAGAAAACGGAGCCCAGTCTCGTTAAAATCAGATCTTTTACTCTGACACGATACCTCTCAATTAAAATTAGACCCCGCCACCCTGAGCAACCTTTGAATACCCAATCAAAATGAAGGTCGCGTGAGTTCTTGAGCCAATCAGATGGCAGCTTTCTCACTCGGCTTTATTTCGTTACAGCCTCGATTCAGAAATGTCGATTTTAGCACAAGAAAACCACCATAGACCAAAAATATACCCCAAAAGTACATACACCCTTTTGGGTGGAGATACCTCGGCGCTCAGAAATAACAGGATGCTAACATACTCAAAATGTAATTGCGCGGTTTTATTGTTTTTTGCATTCGGAAAACCCCGACTATATTCGTTTTCGAGATACAGAAATCAGATAAGTTTGTCTGAAGGCTTCGCCCTGTGGTACAGAGAATTCACAAGCATCGACGCTGATTGGCTAATTAGAAAGTTTCCCTGACACGACCCCCTACAGAGTTGTCCCCAGTTCTTTGTAAAACAGAGTGAGGCATCCTGTAATTGTTACCGAGTTCGATCGCTTTTGGTTCATAGGCTGACCTGATTTGGCAGAAATTCTGCCATTTGGATTTTTTAATTGCAACCAACAACGTACTAACCGAACAGTTCATCTTCAGATGGAAGAGGGGCGAGTTCATTCAGTGGCAGAGGGGTGGGAGGTGGAGCCTGGTCAGTCGCAACGCCAAGATTGTCCTGAAACAAGAGCAACAATTGGTACCGAAGATCTGAAAGTTATTAGACACTTCTGAAGAAGGATGGCAGACTGAGCGTTGCTCCATCACCCGCGAATACATACATCCACTTTGCGATGTCATCACTAGTAAACAACCAATCACACCATGACCTGACTAATGAGTGAGTGAGTTTGGTTTAAAGCCGCATTGAACAGTATTCCAGTTATATCACGGCGTGTTAGCTTGTCATTACTTGACAAATTCAAAATAATTATATCTTGTATTGAGTTTTAACAAAATCAGTAAATGCGCTATGTTGTGGCTGGATTTCTGGTCCATCACTTGATTGTTGCATGGCAAGTGTACCACAGGACACTTCAGACTCGATTATTTACAGACCGCCTTCATACAGCTGCAATATTGCTGAGCACAGAGTTAATCAACAATGAAACAAAATCCAAGATACAATCTACATCAGCCTGCCCGGCAAGATACAATCTACAAATGAAAGATATAGGACCACCCTGTCCTCCACGATACAATCTACATGTTCTCAGATATAGGACCAGCCTCTCCTCCACGATACAATCTACATGTTCTCAGATATAGGACCACCCTCTCCTCCACGATACAATCTACATGTTCTCAGATATAGGACAAGCCTGTCCTCCGCGATACAATCTACATGTTCCAAGATATAGGACCACCCTCTCCTCCACGATACAATCTACATGTTCTCAGATATGGGACCACCCTCTCCTCCACGATACAATCTACATGTTCTCAGATATAGGACCACCCTCTCCTCCACGATACAATCTACGTGTTCTCAGATATAGGACCAGCCTGCCCTCCACGATACAATCTACATGTTCTCAGATATAGGACCAGCCTGTCCTCCACGATACAATCTACAAGTTCTCAGATATAGGACCACCCTGACATCAAATATGCAATCTATATGTGCCCAGGTATAAGCTCAGCTTGTCCTCCAAGATACCATTTACATGTGCCCAGATATACGACCACCCTCTCCTCCAAGATACAATCGGCATGTGCCCAGATATAGGCCCAGTCTGTCCTCCAGTGTCCTCACCTTGTCCCCGCCGACCACCTCATCAGGTTGACTGACGGCTGTCTGTAGCTCGGGTTCAGGGCCGTCGTCCAGCATCTGCAGATCTGTGGGATGAAACATACACTTAAAACACTGTATCTGCAGATCTGTTGGATGAAACATACACTTAACACACTGAATCTGCAGATCTGTGGGATGAAATGTACACTTAACACACTGAATCTGCAGATCTGTGGTATGAAACATAAACTTAACACACTGTATCAACCAAAACTGGCTCCCACAGGAGATATCACTTAGGTAAATCAAGCGATATCTACACTGTAGATATCGCTGCAATGAAATTACATCACAATGCTTTGCAGACCATTGTGACGTCACTGGTTACCATGACGTCCCAATCAAATGACATCACTAATGGCTCTGCTACTGAAGCTGTTAGTAGTACTTTTTACACTGAAGACACTGCTAATTACAGTCTACAAATTGAAAAAGTTGGAAGAATGATGTTGGATGATAAATAAAATCTCCCCCTCGTGTCTTTTGATATAAAAAATATCAACACACGTTGATAAAAGGGGCAAAATTCCTTGGCAAGCCTCGGAATTTTTCCACTTTTATCGACTCGTGTTGATATATTTGATATCAAAAGACACGAGGGTGAGATTCTCTATGTACCACACGACATAAACTCGTGGTTTACAAATGCATACACGAACACACAATACCATTTTGAAAATGGTCAAATGTAACAAATGTTATATTTTGGGGATAACACTTTTTTAGCAAAGTACGGATTCTTGTGGAAGCCTCGGCGGCTGAGTGGGACTTTACGTGCTGTCGAGTAGGTGCCTCACTCTGGGAGTGTGGGTTATTTTTATTTTTCCCTTAATCTTGAAAAGTCAGTTCAAGTCACAATGCGTGGTTTAATTTGAGTACGTAAACACCACACTGGTTAGTGTGTTGGTTGTGATGTGGACCAAGACGTATGTAGGACAATGATGGAAGGATTTGCAAACACAAATGGTTTCAACATAAATACACGGAATCTAATGTGGTAAATTTTCTCTCCAGAATGACCATCGTCGAACCCTGTCTAATGTTTGGAAGGAACACGGCTGCTGCTTCAAGACTCGAGATTCGTTAATTGCTAATAAAGAATAATAGTATGACACATATTTGCTAAATCATACAAACACGTTGCATCTGCAGGCCTGCATTTGAAGCAGGCAGCCGTACCTGCATTACAAGCAGGCAGCCGTACCTGCATTACAAGCAGACAGCCGTAACTGCATTACAAGTAGGCAGCCGTACCTGCTTTACAAGCAGGCAGCCGTACCTGCATTACAAGCAGACAGCCGCACCCGCATTACAAGCAGACAGCCGTACCTGCATTACAAGCAGACAGCCGCACCCGCATTACAAGCAAGCAGCCGTACTCAGTTTCTCGAACATGCATGCCATGTAGACAGGCGAAAGTGATCTGAACCAAATGCGGACATACGTGTGTGAAACAGCTTTTAATCGGGTGAAACATGATGCAATCAAAGACAAACGAAATGTGATACATCACTTAAATATGTTAGGTAGCACTCAGTAAAACATATAAGTTTGTAAAACAGCACTCAATAAAACAAATAGGTTTGTGAAACAGCACTCAATAAAACTTAAGCACGTGAACAACATCCTGACAAACAAGACGCACTCATTGTAGTACAAACAACACTCTATTACGTGGAACAGCTCTTAGTCATGTTGAACAGCATTCAAACACAGACGCAAGGGAATAATTAAAGATCACTCGACCAAACGGACGTATGTGAAACAGCACTCATTCAAACACAGACGAAAATCAAACAGCACCCAATCAAACCCACATGGCACTCAATCAAACACAGACGTATGTGAAACAGCACTCAATCAAACACACACGAAAATCAAACAGCACTCAATCAAACACACATGGCACTCAATCAAACAGTGCATATCAAAAAGCACTCAATCAAACACAGACGTATGTGAAACAGCACTCAATCAAACACACACGAAAATAAAACACGCTCAATCAAACACACATGGCACTCAATCAAACAGTGCATAACACACAACACTCAATCAAACACACACTCAATCAAACAGCACTCAATCAATCACACATCACACTCAATCAAACAGTGCATATCAAACAGCACTCAATCAAACACAGACGTATGTGAAACAGCACTCAATCAAACACACATGGCACTCAATCAAACTGTATATCAAACAGCACTCAAACACAGACGTATGTGAAACAGCACTCAATCAAACACACACGAAAATCAAACATCACTCAATCAAACCAACATGGCACTCAATCAAACAGTGTATATCAAACAGCACTCAATCAAACACAGACGTATGTGAAACAGCACTCAATCAAACAGGCGTAAGTAAAACAGCACTCGATCAAACACAGACGTATGTGAAACAGCACTCGATCAAACATCACTCCGTGTACCTACCACTCTCTATGCCTGCAGGAGAGAAATGACACCGAGACGATCAATACAGCTGTTTCATCAACTAAACTCCACCTCCATATCAATGGGAGTATTTAATCATCATTGCCAAACGCATGCGCTTTTTGCACAAATAACCAAACAACAGAAAACAAATCTCTCGATTAACCCATCCCGAAGAATCTCAATGCAACACACAACAAAATCAAAGGCACTGAAAGCGTGTTCATGTAGGGAAATAATTTGCAATTCTACAAATGAATAATATCTCCAGATTCTGAAATGAAAAGACTAAAAACGCATACAGCACAATAAGGGATCGCGGCTGATTCACTTGCCTTGCAAAGGTCAAGCTCACCTTCCGTGAACGCCTGCTCTTATCACTATTTGATAGTGGTTCATAAACACATACGTACATGTATGTTCCAGACATAATCGCACAACTGAGAGAAATTTAGCAGGGATTACTTATGAATATGGAAAGGGCATTGTCGCATATATCTACGGATTTTGTCGGCGAAAAGGGTTGGTGGTCGAAATGAAGATAACATTTTAGAATCATCTTTCTTAATTCTAAAACAATTTTCATTCGGGGAAGATTTACAAGAAAACAAAAAGCGTATTATAAACAAGTGTAATGCAAACGAAAAATGACGAGTACGTTTTAATGTGAAGTCCAGAGCTCGCGATAAGCTGCGTATTTGCGTAAAATACGCATTCAATAAACTGAAATACGCAGACAAATCAAATCCTTGTGTATCAAATACGCAACAAAAAACTATATATACTATATTGAAATAAAATTAATGCGTATATTACAACTATTAGATAAAACGATTGCGTATCAGGTGGGTAATTACACATTAAATACCCTCTAAAACTTGTGGATACCCAATCAAAATGAAATCCCTGGTTAAAAAAAACAAATAACCAAAAGCTTATCTATAGCTCTGGAAGTCAAAGGGTTATTTCTGCTGACTATGCTGATGTACACAGGAGGTGTCTTATTTACTGAAATTACATCGGAAGAAGAAAACTGTCCTCCATATTTTAATTTACCTCCATATTTGTGTTATTTTGGATCGGAGGATCAAAAACCAAGTAATTAAGAACTGCCTTGGTATATTTCACCAAACACCACCACTGGAAAACGTTTTAATACATTTACGCCCAACAACAACCAAAGTAACACATGACAGTACAGAGGTGGACATCATAAGGACAAAGGTGGGCGCCGACATGACAAAGGGGGGCGTCAACAGAACAAAGGTGGGCATTGATAGGACATAGGTGGGCATCAACAGGACAAAGGTTGGCGCCGACATGACAAAGGGGGGCGTCAACAGAACAAAGGTGGGCGTTGACAAGACAAAGGGCGGTGTTGACAGGGCAAAGATGGCCATCGACAGGGCAAAGGTGGGCATTGATAGGACATAGGTGGGCGTCAACAGGACAAAGGTGGGCGCCGACATGACAAAGGTGGGCGTCGACAAAACAAAGGTGGGCGTCAACAGAACAAAGGCGGGCGTTGACAGGACAAAGGTGGGCATCAACAGGACAAAGGTGGGTGCCGACATGACAAAGGTGGGCGTCAACAGAACAAAGGTGGGCGTTGACATGACATAGGTGGGCGTTGACAGGACAAAGGTGGGCGCTGACATGACAAAGCTGGACGTCAACAGGACAAAGGTGGGCGTCGACAAAACAAAGGTGGGCGTTGACAGGACAAAGGTGGGCATCAACAGGACATAGGTAGGCGTTGACAGGACAATGGTGGGCGTTGACAGGACAAAGGTGGGCATCAACAGGACAAAGGTGGGTGTTGACAGGACATAGGTGGGCATCCACGGGACAAAGGTGGGCGTCGACAACACAAAGGTGGGCGTTGACAGGACAAAGGTGGGCATCGACAGGGTAAAGATGGGCGTTGACAGGACAAAGGTGGGAGTTGACAGGACAAAGGTGGGCGTTGACAGGACAAAAGTGGGCATCGACAGGGTAAAGGTGGGCGTTGACAGGACAAAGGTGGGCATCAACAGGAAACAGGTGGGCGTTGACAGACAGGACAAAGGTGGGCATCAACAGGACAAAGGTGGGCGTTGACAGAACGAAGGTCGGCATCAACAGGACAAAGGTGGGCGTTGACAGGACAAAGGTGGGCGTCAACAGGAAGAAAGTGGGCATCAACAGGACAAAGGTGGGCGTTGACAGAACGAAGGTGGGCGTTGACAGGACAAAGGTGGGCGTTGACAGGACAAAGGTGGGCGTTGACAGGACAAAGGTCGGCATCAACAGGACAAAGGTGGGCGTTGACAGGACAAAGGTGGGCGTTGACAGAACGAAGGTGGGCGTTGAGAGGACAAAGGTCGGCATCAACAGGACAAAGTTGGGCGTTGACAGAACGAAGGTCGGCATCAACAGGACAAAGGTGGGCGTTGACAGGACAAAGGTGGGCGTCAACAGGAAGAAAGTGGGCATCAACAGGACAAAGGTGGGCGTTGACAGAACGAAGGTGGGCGTTGACAGGACAAAGGTGGGCGTTGACAGGACAAAGGTGGGCGTTGACAGGACAAAGGTCGGCATCAACAGGACAAAGGTGGGCGTTGACAGGACAAAGGTGGGCGTTGACAGGACAAAGGTGGGCGTTGACAGGACAAAGGTCGGCATCAACAGGACAAAGGTGGGCGTTGACAGGACAAAGGTGGGCGTCGACAGGACAAAGGTAGGCGTTGACAGGACAAAGGTAGGCGTTGACAGGACAAAGGTAGGCGTTGACAGGACAAAGGTGGGCGTTGACAGGACAAAGGTGGGCGTCGACAGGACAAAGGTAGGCGTTGACAGGACAAAGGTGGGCGTTGACAGGACAAAGGTAGGCGTTGACAGGACAAAGGTAGGCGTTGACAGGACAAAGGTGGGCGTTGACAGGACAAAGGTGGGCGTTGACAGGACAAAGGTCGGCATCAACAGGACAAAGGTGGGCGTTGACAGGACAAAGGTGGGCGTCGACAGGACAAAGGTAGGCGTTGACAGGACAAAGGTAGGCGTTGACAGGACAAAGGTAGGCGTTGACAGGACAAAGGTAGGCGTTGACAGGACAAAGGTAGGCGTTGACAGGACAAAGGTGGGCGTTGACAGGACAAAGGTGGGCGTTGACAGGACAAAGGTCGGCATCAACAGGACAAAGGTGGGCGTTGACAGGACAAAGGTGGGCGTCAACAGGACAAAGGTGGGCGTCAACAGGAAGAAAGTGGGCATCAACAGGACAAAGGTGGGCGTTGACAGAACGAAGGTGGGCGTTGACAGGACAAAGGTGGGCATCGACAGGACAAAGGTGGGCGTCAACAGGACAAAGGTGGGCGTTGACAGGACAAAGGTGGGCGTCAACAGGACAAAGGTGGGCGTCAACAGGACAAAGGTGGGAGTTGACAGGACGAAGGTGGGCGTTGACAGGACAAAGGTGGGAGTTGACAGGACGAAAGTGGGCATCAACAGGACAAAGGTGGGCGTCAACAGGACAAAGGTGGGCGTTGACAGGACAAAGGTGGGCATCAACAGGACAAAGGTGGGCGTCAACAGGACAAAGGTGGGCGTTGACAGGACAAAGGTGGGCGTCAACAGGACAAAGGTGGGCGTGAACAGGACAAAGGTGGGAGTTGACAGGACGAAGGTGGGCGTTGACAGGACAAAGGTGGGAGTTGACAGGACGAAAGTGGGCATCAACAGGACAAAGGTGGGCGTCAACAGGACAAAGGTGGGCGTCAACAGGACAAAGGTGGGCGTTGACAGAACGAAGGTGGGCGTCAACAGGACAAAGGTGGGCGTCAACAGGACGAAAGTGGGCATCAACAGGACAAAGGTGGGCGTTGACAGAACGAAGGTGGGCGTCAACAGAACAAAGGTGGGCGTCAACAGGACAAAGGTGGGCGTCAACAGGACAAAGGTGGGCGTCAACAGGACAAAGACACCACCAATCCCTCCGGATCCATCGGTGCGTATGATACAAGTCGTAGATATGGTACTGGGTGACAGGAGATGGCGTGTTGTGAGGAACAGGTGCGCGGGAGAGACTGTACAACATGTGAAATAAACGATTGCATAGAATATGAGAAACGGCCATGTCAGTTCGACATTTTCTTGGATATTTTTAACAAATGATTTTTTGCAGGAACTACTTCTAAATAGTAAATTTGTTAGGTTTTACAAACACCATTGTTCGTTGGGCATCCTGGATGTCCTGACAATTGGAAATTACGTAATTTATTCAATCCGTAAAGGTATATGTTTCGACCAGTCTTTGCAATTGTTCCATGAAGACAACGTGAGGCACCATGCGGATATTCTATGCAAATGATTCGTGAAAACAACGTGATGCACCATGCAGATATTCCATGCAAATGTTTCGTGAAAACAACGTGATGCACCAGGCAGAAATTCCATGAAAATGCCTCGTGAAAACAACGTGATGCACCATGTAATACATACCTTCCAGCTCTTGCAAATCTGTTGTCAAATGTAATGAAGCCAGTCAAATAATGCCAGTGTCTACACTTGTGTCATGCACTGTACACTCCTAATGCATGCCTGACTACATCACAGTTAGAAAAATGAAAACATTTACGGAACGCATGCCAAGTGTTTGCATATTGACATTCCGCTGACTCGGTGTTCAAGACTAGTAAGTGATACTATCCCCGTGAATACACATCCAGTAATAATAAGCTATGCATACCAGAGCTCATGTTCACTTTTCTTTCTGATGGAACATCTGACACGCACAAGAATTTGATATTTACATGACAGTAGTTTAGAAATTACTCATTATAAAATAATGGTAAAGACATTTACGTTGGGAGAGGATTTGTGTCATACTTTTGTAACTTTTGATATTTACATGACAGGAATCCAAAAAGATATGCAGGCGATTGAATACTGTATTGGTATTTAACGGTCTTTCCAATTTAAACTGGGGCGGTCGGGTAGCCTAGTGGTTAAAGCGTTCGCTCGTCATGCCAAAGACCTGGATACGATTCCCCACATGGGTACAATGTGTGAAGCTCATTTCTGGTGTCCAGGCCGTGATATTTTGCTGGAATATTGCTAAAAGCGGCGTAAAACCATACTCACTCACTCCAATTCAAACGGAATTTGTTGGGCTGCGTTTGAACACTTTGGCGTCTTTGCGTGACAGAGCGTTGCTAAAACAGTTGACAGTACGGGACTTAGTGCTCACTTAATCACGTGATTCTACCACGAATTTTGAAAATATTATATTCTGATTGGTCAACTAGAGTTTTCAAAGCACAAGGGCCTCCCTGATTGTAGAAGTTAATTTCACGGCCGCACCTCCACCAAAGCTTACACATATGGCTAAAAATCTCTTTCTAACTGTCAGTAGGAATTTTAAAATAATGGTTTGTACAAAATAGGCTGCAACTAAATTCAAAGTATGTGTGGCAAGACATTCTTGGCAGAAGGTGCGTTTGGTTCCAAATTTATATTACCACCGTCGAACTACAGGTAACACAGCATTATCTTGTGCAAACAATTTGAAATGATTTGAAATTTCAAATGAAAATGCCAAATATAAAAATGTGAATGTCATAAAATCATAACAGATAAAAAATATAAATGTTCTCTGGGACGGAAACACGTTAATGTCTTTCTTTCTTTTCTTGAAATCGAAACTTTTAATCATCGCATTGTTCAATGATAACTAATGACAAAGTATTAACCGAAAACAAAATTATATAAGAATTATGTTTTTTAAAACCAAAGCACATATAATGTTTTTGAACACGGAGAAGCATGTATGACTGTAACATGATGATACATCCTTAAATCTAAATTACAAAGGTGTTGATAAGGGTATACAGTAAACTACGGTTATAACGAACACGCTTATAACGAACTGACCGATATAACGAACTTACTTGTTCGCCCCGGCCATGTGTTGCATATATTCTGTATATATGCTTATAACGAACTACGGTTATTACGAACTAAAATGGGTGGTCCCTTTGAGTTCGTTATAACCGTAGTTTACTGTATTTGACAAAATGTTTACCTCCTTCAGTGAGTTGGTCTCCCATCTGGTTACCGACCATGTCTTTTATGAGTCGAAGACGTTCCCGACGCAGGTCGGAGCGTTTAGCATTCAGCTGTTTCCGCGTCACTTCAAGATCTCTATTTATCGTGTTCTTAATAACCTGAAACATGAAACAATTACCGATAATGTACGTCAAGAACTACATCAATTATTGACAACGTTTTCTACATTGTACTCGCGTTGTAACATAAACTGAAATATGATGAGCCTGTTTGGTTGTCTTGTCCTTGTTATATCAGAGGGATGATATGTTCAAGAGGGGCGCAGTTACTACAAACAATATTATTGTCAGATTATAGGATAAAACAAATGTCCAAGGTATTTTAACTATGTCTTCAACCTTGACAAAAAATAGCGGAAAAGCTTTTCTCCGATTCTTCCGACCCGACGGTAATGACAACTTGTTCACTCCCCTGATGCATTTCTCCCCTTCATGATGAGGTGACTGAACATTTCATTTGATTCTTTAGAAATGAATTTGTACCATCATTCTCAAACATCTGTATTTCGGAAACAAATGGGATGTGGCAATTCAGTTTTAAACTGCCTGGCAAAAGAAAATATGGCTAAAAATTAAACAAAACAAGAAATGGTTATTCGATTGTGATGTACTTGATACGGGTATCGTAGTTGTGTATTGGACCTTATGTTTGCAGTATCTGGCGACTGTTTTCATCCCAGTAAGTTAGGATAATGATTGTAACATTTTGGTTAAATTCAGTTTTCAATTTGTCTTTTGCCCGGCAGTTTATCTCAATATTGGGCCGGGAGCAAGAGAGAACAAAATGTAACAGACCAAGTATCATAATCGGGGTGAATCTGGGATTCGAACAACGACCATCGGATCCAGGCTTGGCTAAGGGAAGCGACTCTGTTGTGTACAAGTGTGATTTAGCTTAGACTTTAACGTCACATAGGCATTGTTTCCGCCAACTAGCGACCTAAACAGCCCGACAAAAGAAAGTACACACTTCAAACCCATGAAGATCCGAGGTAGTATAAGTCTTCAGCAACCCATCCTTGAGGTAAAAGGCGACTATGCTTGTCGTAAGAGGCGACTAACGGGATCGGGTGGTCAGGCTCGTTGACTTGGTTGATGAATGTCATCTATTCCAATTGCGTGGAATGATACTCATTAGATAAGTCACTGGATTGTCTGGTCCAGACTCGATTATTTACAGACAGCCGTCATATAGCTGGAATATTGCTGAGTGCGGCGTTAAACAACAAACAAACAAACAATCTGTTTTTAGTGTCTACTCACACTCTCAAACCACTGCAGCAGGGCCGCCGCTCGCTTGTGGGTCGTACTGTAGCACTGATACGCATGTTCGTGACGATCGTGCGACATCATGTCGACGTAGATGTTGACGTAGGCTCGCTTCATCGTCTGCATTTCTTGCTGGTCGCAGTAGGGGAACTTGATGTTGCTGAGGTAGCGCTGAGCGTTCTCGATGTTCTGGGTGGCGGCGATGAGGTTGTTCCGGCATTCCGTCACCATGTCGTATTTCTTCTTGTTGCCATTTTGGTCGCTGGAGATAAGAAACGTAACACTCATTGGAACTGGTGAGTGAGTGAGTGAGTGAGTGAGTGAGTGAGTGAGTGAGTGAGTGAGTGGGTGAGTGGGTGGGTGGGTGGGTCGGTCGGTCGGTGAGTGAGTGAGTGAGTGAGTGAGTGAGTGAGTGAGTGTCAGCTTAATGTGGGTGACGGTGTAACTCGCATTCAACATTAATGCACCTATTGTCCCCCGCCGCGCGAAAGCGCGAAGCGGGGGATATAGTATTCACGACCGTCCGTACGTACGTCCCACCTGTTTGTTGCCGCGATATCTCAAGAACTAAACACTGGATTGTCTTCATATTTGGAACTATGGTGTATATACAAATTCGGCAGACACCAGTCGGTTTTGGTGACCTTGACCCCATTTTCAAGGTCACAGCAGGCAAATCTGCTTTTGGAGTTGGAAAACGGTGTTGCCGCGATATCTCAAGAACTAATCGCTGGATTGTCTTCATATTTGGAACTATGGTGTATATACAGACTCCGCAGACACCAGTCGGTTTTGGTGACCTTGACCCCATTTTCAAGGTCACAGCAGGCAAATTTGCTTTTGGAGTTTGAAAACGGTGTTGTCGCGATATCTCAAGAACTAAACACTGGATTGTCTTCATATTTGGTACTATGGTGTATATACAGACTCCGCAGACACCAGTCGGTTTTGGTGACCTTGATCCCATTTTCAAGGTCACAGCAGGCAAATCTGCTTTTGGAGTTGGAAAACGGTGTTGCCGCGATATCTCAAGAACTAATCGCTGGATTGTCTTCATATTTGGAAGTATGGTGTATATACAGACTCCGCAGACACCAGTCGGTTTTGGTGACCTTGACCCCATTTTCAAGGTCACAGCAGGCAAATTTGCTTTTGGAGTTTGAAAACGGCGTTGTCGCGATATCTCAAGAACTAAACACTGGATTGTCTTCATATTTGGTACTATGGTGTATATACAGACTCCGCAGACACCAGTCGGTTTTGGTGACCTTGATCCCATTTTCAAGGTCACAGCAGGCAAATCTGCTTTTGGAGTTGGAAAACGGTGTTGCCGCGATATCTCAAGAACTAAACACCGGATTGTCTTCATATTTGGAACTATGGTGTATATACAGACACCGCAGACACCAGTCGGTTTTGGTGACCTTGATCCCATTTTCAAGGTCACAGCAGGCAAATCTGCTTTTGGAGTTGGAAAACGGTGTTGCAGCGATATCTCAAGAACTAAACACTGGATTGTTTTCATATTTGGAACTATGGTGTATATACAGACTCCGCAGACACCAGTCGGTTTTGGTGACCTTGACCCCATTTTCAAGGTCACAGCAGGCAAATCTGCTTTTGGAGTTAGAAAACGGTGTTGCCGCGATATCTCAAGAACTAATCGCTGGATTGTCTTCATATTTGGAACTATGGTGTATATACAGACACCACATACACCAGTCGGTTTTGGTGACCTTGACCCCATTTTCAAGGTCACAGCAGGCAAATCTGTTTTTGGAGTTGGAAAACGGTGTTGCCGCAATATCTCAAGAACTAATCGCTGGATTGTCTTCATATTTGGTACTATGGTGTATATACAGGCGGGGGACATTTCGTCACTTTGTGACAAATACTTGTTTATATTGCGACGTGCTTGTGTGTGAGTGTGTGGATGTGTGTGTGTGCGTGCGTCTTATTCCGGACTGGTGCCGATTTCATAGTGATAATCCGTGCCGCAGTTGAACATGGATAACAACAAGTACCATATTTTAACGTCTTTTGATATGACGCAGGCGGGGTTGGAACCACGACCTTCCGCTCTATCTACTAGACCACGGGAGAGGTCGCTTGATGTGGCAAGAAAGTCCAAAGTATTGTAGACGTTGACTACTTTTGGGAAACTTACGAGTACCAGAATTACACCGACAGGTCAAGGATTATAATCGGGGCTAATTTGGGACCGAAAGCTACATCTAGCACCCTTGAAGCTCAGAGACGCAACTCTATACATCGTTTAAGGGCGCCTGTGACGAGTACCTCCAAGATCTACAACGGAAAACTCGTGCTTAACTGTAGGGGGTTCTCCATTGGCAAGGATCAAAATCGGGTTCAATCTGAGACTTGATCCTACAACTCGCACCCTTGATGTTAAGAGAAAGGGAGGGTGACACAACTGCTTTCTAGATCTACAACGACATATCTACTCGTACTTACTTTCAGGGTGTCTTCGGTATAGACAAGGATCAGAATCGGGGTAAACCAGGATTCGAAACTTGAGGTTCACGGGAGGGGCTTACTTTTTGGGTATCTTCGGTATAGACAAGGATTCTGGGTAAAATCAGGATTCGAAACTTGAGGTTCACGGTAGGGACTTACTTTACAGGTATATTCGGTAAAGACAAGGAATCCAGGTAAAATCAGGATTCGACCCTTGAGGTTCACGGTAGGGACTTACTTTACAGGTATATTCGGTAAAGACAAGGAATCCAGGTAAAATCAGGATTCGACCCTTGAGGTTCACGGTAGGGACTTACTTTACAGGTATATTCGGTATAGACAAGGAATCGGAGTAAAACCAGGATTCGACCCTTGAGGTTCACGGTAGGGGCTTACTTTACGGGTATCTTCTGTATAGGCAAGGAATCGGGGTAAAACCAAGATTATTATTAGAAGGATTCGAAACTTGAGGTTCAAGGGAGGGGCTTACTTATTTGGTATCTTCGGTATTGACCAGGATCTCAGGGTAAAATCAGGATTCGAACCTTGAGGTTCACGGTAGGGGCTTACTTTACAGGTATCTTGGGCACCTCCGTCCACCTGCGGACAGCGAAGGCCATCTGGTTACAAGCATGCTGCAGAAGGACCTGGCCGTTCTTCCACTTGTACTGCGCCACCTGGATCCTCCTCGTGCGGTCGTCCAGCTGGTCCACCTCCTTCTCCAGGACGTTCTCCTTGTCACTGCCGTACGCCCCATTGAACATCTTCTCTGTAGGGGCACGCAATGAATAAGGCAAGTGAGTGAGTGAGTGAGTTGGGTTTAACGCCGCTTTTAACAGTATTCCAGTTATATCACGGCGTGTCAGCTTAATGTGGGAGGAAAGCCCGAAGTGATGCAGGTCCCAGACGTTTACCTATTCGGTGAAACCCACGAGCAAGGGTATGGTGCTGGCAAACCTAGAAACACAATCGGGGTGAACCGGGATTCGAACCCACGATCATAGGTTTCTGGCATGCCCAAGGGACGCAACTCTGCAAAGCGAATTGCGGCGCCTTAGATGACTGGGCCACCCGTGCCCCCACGAGGCAAGTGAAACATAGGAGTAATCAATGGAGGGAGTATTGTGTTATGCCGCGTTTAGCAATATGCCAGCAATATCAAGGCGGGGGTACCAGAAATGGACTTCACACAATTTGCTCGTGAACCTGGGCCTTTGGCGTGGCGAGCCGCCGCTTTAACCACTAGGGTACCCCTACGCCCCGAAACATAAGTTTGTTTGTTTGTTGTTCAATTCCAGCTTTATGACGGTGGTCTGTAAATAACCGAGTCTGGACCAGACAATTTCAGTGATTGACATCCTGAGCATCGATCCACGCAATTGGGATACATTGACATGCATCAACCAAGTCAACGCGTCTGACCATCCGATCCCGTTAGTCGCCTTTAACGGCAAGCATGGGTTACTGAAGACCTGAAGGTTATAGAGTTTTCAGTAGGAGTATGGATTTACGCCGCTTTTATCAGTATTCCAGCAATATCAAGGCAGGGGACTCCAGAAACGGACTTGACACAATCTACTCCACGCTACACCTCTCCACCTCGCTTCACCCCGCTACTCCACGCTACACCACGGTCACCCCGCTAAACACCGCTACAGCCCGCTCGCCCAGCTACACTCTGCTACACCCCACTCAACCGCCACACCTCGCTCACCCCGCCTCACCACGCTACACCCCGCTCACCTCACTACACCCCGCCTCACCCCGCTACACCACGCTATTCCACGCTACACCACGGTCAACACGTTCAATCCGCTACACCCTGCTACACCCCGCTACATGCCGCTAAACACCGCTTACCCCGCTACACCCAGCTCAACCGCTACACCCCGCTCATCCCGCTACACCCAGCTCAACCGCTACACCCCGCTCACCCAGCTACACCCAGCTCAACCGCTACACCCCGCTCACCCCGCTACACCTCGCTACACCCCGCTACACCCAGCTCACCCAGAAGGTCGTCCTGCTCTCCGTACAGTCCGTTGATACCCTGGACATCCTTCTCCCGCTGCTGCACCTCGCTACACCCAGCTCACCCCGTCTCACCCCGGTACACCCAGCTCACCCAGAAGGTCGTCCTGCTCCCCGTACAGTCCGTTGATACCCTGGACATCCTTCTCCCGCTGCTGCACCTCGCTACACTCAGCTCAACCACTACACCCCGCTCACCCCGCTACACCCAGCTCACCCCGCTACACCCCGGTACACCCCGCTCACCCAGAAGGTCGTCCTGCTCGCCGTACAGTCCGTTGATACCCTGGACATCCTTCTCCAGCTGCTACACCTCGCTACACCCTGCCTCACCTCGCTACACCTCGCTACACCCAGCTCACCCCGTCTCACCCCGGTACACCCAGCTCACCCAGAAGGTCGTCCTGCTCCCCGTACAGTCCGTTGATACCCTGGACATCCTTCTCCCGCTGCTGCACCTCGCTACACTCAGCTCAACCGCTACACCCCGCTCACCCCGCTACACCCAGCTCACCCCGCTACACCCCGGTACACCCCGCTCACCCAGAAGGTCGTCCTGCTCTCCGTACAGTCCGTTGATACCCTGGACATCCTTCTCCAGCTGCTGCACCTCCTTCTCCAGTGTCGCCGCCTGGAACCTGATCCCCTCCAGCTGCTTCTGGGCGACCTCCTGCTCGTTGACGGCCTCCAGATACTCCTCCTGCACACACGACACGACGACAGTGTTATACTCAGTTATACAGCACGGATATCGTTGTAGAACCCTCGGGGTATATGAGTTACTCCTCACTGATTGGCTAATATTTTGGCTGAACGCTTATCAAATTCGCGTAACGACACCCTGTTCGTAAACAACATGGCATTTTGTTCGAAGCAAATGTAAGTGATTTGAGAGATGGAATCTGATTGGTCAGTAGTAGGGACATAGAAGGGACATAACTCGTAAGCAAAAGCAATTGGATGCGCCACGATCGGGCCACGACGTTCCTGCCTAGTTCGGCAATAGTGGAAACTGAACTTTTACAGTCAGTTAACTCCCTTGCTTCGGGAAGATGATACCACGGTGAATTGTGAGTGAGTGAGTGAGTATGGTTTTACGCCGCTTTTAGCAATATTCCAGCAATATCACGGCGGGGGACACCAGAAACCCATGTCGGGAATCGAACCTGGGTCTTCGGCGTGACGAGCGAACGCTTTAACCACTAGGCTACTCGACCGCCCCCCATGGTGAATAAGCGGTTCACAAGTGTACAGCATACAGCTGAACGTGCTCATGTGCTCTTGAACATGCTGACTGATTCATGTGTTGTTTGTTTGTTGTCGCACTCAGCAATATTCCAGCTATATGACAGCGGTCTGTAAATAATCGAGTCTGGACCAGACAATCTAGTGACTGACATCATGAGCATCAATCCACGCAATTGGGATACGATGACATGCATCAACCAAGTCATGCAGCCTGACCACCCGATCCCGTATGTCGCCTCTTACGACAAGCAAAGTCGCCTTTTACGGCAAGCATTGGTTGCTGAAGACCTATTCTACCCAGGATCTTCACGGGTCTGATTCATGTGTACGGCCAGCAGTATCTGTGACGTTGGAACAAAAGATCGGAACTTCCTTAGCACTGATGTATTCTTTGACAAACAAAATGACGACATTCGTATTTACGACAGTTAACAGTACACCAGTCGATTCCATATGTCTATGATTGTAATTGCAAAGAGTGAGTAAGTTGGGTTTAACGCCGTTCTCAACAGTATTCCAGTTATATTACGAAGCGATGCAAGTCTCAGACGTTAGCCCTTTGGTGAAACCCAAGAGCACAGGTTTGGTGCTGACAAACCTAGAAACATAATCGGTAAGAACCGGGATTCGATCCCACGATCATTGATTTCTGGCGTGTCCAAGGGACGCAACTCCGCACAGCGAATTGTGCGACCTTGGACGACTGGGCGACCCGTATCCCCGTAATTGTAAAGAACACTATAAAATGAAACTTTCACTGAAATGAAACTCGTGGGTAAACATGTGTCCTATTTATTTAACGTCTGGTCCCACTTGAATAAAGCTACGTAAGCCTGTGTATAAATATCGACAAAAGTCGTAGCGCCATGGCTGCTTTCTGAATGATGGCCTCTAAATGTTTTCAAAGGAACAGGTTTTCATAATAAACGTTGCTATGGCTCTTTATTAAAAAGCAAAGATGGCAGCCTGTGTGCCATATTGAATTTCTAATTCTAAGGCTTTGTTTGTACAAGGAGGGGAGAGAGTGTCTAAGATTATTGCGCTTAAAAAGCGACGTGCATGCACGTGTGTGTGGCTGCTTGTACTGGTCTTGACTGATGCCGAATTATAGCGCTAGCCTACCTGTGAACCATGCCGCAGTTTAACATGACTCCGAGCCGACCAGTCCTTGTTTTAGCCCCATAAAGCCGAGCGCAAGCAGAGTAACAACAAGTACCATCTTTTAACGTATTTTGGCATAACGCAGCCGGGGATCGAACCCCGGACCTTCCGCTCTCCGGTCGGACGTTCTGCCACTAAACCACGGAAGCGGTCTCTGCAAGGGGAGGAGAGTTGGAGGGAAGTTTTATATGGTTTAACGTCGCGGTAAAGAATATTTCACTTACATAGCGACGTGCATGTGTGTAGCTGCTTGAACTGTAGTTAAGACCTATACCGGTTTTACGGTGCCAGCCCACTGAGATGCTATGCCGCAGTTTAACATGGATACCCTACTCCGAGCCGACCAATCCTTGTCTCAATCCCTGCCAAGCACCAGGCAGGGTAACAACAAGAACCCATTTTGACATCTCTTGTTATGACGCGGCAACTTTCGCCCCTTCCGACAGACGGTCTATCAACTACACCATGAAGGCGGTTCGTGAACGACAACGACGACTACCGCGGGGAAAGACAAGTGAGCTCAACACTATAACAGGATAATCTTGATGCAAGACATTAACACGGCGGCAAGAAATTATCGTGTCTTAATTAAAATAGCCAACAAATTAAATTTTAAATAAAATAATGTTCCTTAAACCAATACAGGCATGTTCAAAACAATATGAACGATATCGGTTTTAATTGACACCCTCTTCACAGCTTACACAATGTCTTTGACCACTATGCGATTACCTCCCTTTTCATACTGAATTTGATAAACACGGTCTATCGACAGTAAATGAGTGCATTAACCTATTCAGGCCAACTGTTGGAATGACCTGGTACGTGGGATGTCTCCATCCAATTATTGCCATAACCTTGCTAATAAACGTCATGCATTTCAAGGCTTCAATCAAAATAAACCTGAACAACTATTAACATATTTTAAGATAAAGAAGACCAATTATGTACGGTAACCTTTTGGGGCCAATTGTTTTGGGTTTTTGTTGTTGTTTTTTTCTTGAAATTTCAACCTAAGCCACAGAGACGTTTCAGAAAACTCTTACACATAGACCACGGCTTACTAAGGCTACTGAGCCAGGTTCACGGTATTCTATGTTGTGTAGGGTGAGGACAAGCAGCCATAGGTAACTATAAGGTGAAGTGCCCCGTACGGTTGTAATTCATGCACATCTACCCTTGTTGGTTGAAACGTAAAAGAAGCATCATCCCTGGTACCCAGTGTGTCATATCTCCATTCTATAATGATAAACAACTTCGTTTCGGAAGTGACGTCACCAGCTACATTTCTCTTGTCACTTACTTATCACAATCTTTATCTCGAACATCGGCTTATTAGCAACCTTTATCTCGAACATCGGCTTATTAGCAACCTTTATCTCAAACATCGGCTTATTAGCAACCTTTATCTCAAACATCGGCTTATTAGCAACCTTTATCTCAAACATCGGCTTATTACTAACCTTTATCTCAAACATCGGCTTATTAGCAACCTTTATCTCAAACATCGGCTTATTAGCAACTTTTATCTCAAACATCGGCTTATAACCAACCTTTATCTCAAACATCGGCTTATTAGCAACCTTTATCTCAAACATCGGCTTATTACCAACCTTTATCTCAAACATCGGCTTATTAGCAACTTTTATCTAAAACATCGGCTTATTAGCAACCTTTATCTCAAACATCGGCTTATTAGCAACCTTTTTCTCGAACACCGGCTTATAAGCAACAACCAACATTTTGCCTCTTCTGAACGCAAGTTCGACATACACCAACATTCGACATTGCAGCCTCGTCCGACTGAACACCAATTGAATGTATTTTATATTTAAATTATCTTTTAGATTGAGAAAATGTTTTTTTGTGTTGTTAGACACGTCTGCTACAAGACGTTCGGGCTGTATCTGAGACGCAATAGCGAGTCGGGAAGGGAGTCGAATGAAACTCTTTCAAACATGAGTGAGATTATTGTTTTACGCCGCATCAGGAACCTTGCAACTATTCTTTCAAACGTGAAGAAACGATGTAATGTGATTCTTTGTCTATTTTTATCTTTTAATGTTTGTTGTTTGTTTGTACGTTGTTTAACTCCGACCTCAGCAATATTCCAGCTATATGACGGCGGCCCGTCAATCATCAATTCTGGACCAGACAATTCTGTGATTGACAGTATGAGCATCGGTCTACGCAACAGGAACACGATGACATGCATCTACCAAGTCAGCGCGCCTGACCACCCGATTCCGTTAGTCGCCTCTTACGACCAGCATAGTCGACTCTAAAGTAAGTAAGCGAGTATGGTTTTACGCAGCTTTTAGCAATATTCCAGCAATGTCACTGGGGGGACTCCAGAAATGGGCTTCACACATTGTACCCGTGTCGGGAATCGAACCCAGGTGACGAACGAACGATTTAACCACTAGGCTACCCGACCGCCCCAGTCGACTCTAAAGACAAGCATGGGTTGCTGAAAACTAATTTTACCCCGGATCTTTACGAGAGAGAGCGCGACTGGGTCCAAGCACACGCACACGCACACGCACGCACGCACGCACGCACGCACGCACACACGCACATATATAAAATAATAATAGAATGAAGATATAATACCCTGGCCAACCAAGGATGAGTTACCACATTTGGTACGCCATGCAGTAAACATGTGCTGTTTAACATAGCAGAGAGTGTCACTTTGTTGAAAAATATAGCGGAAGTCTACTTAACAGGTCTGGGTTGCTTTGGCTGTGTTGGAAATATAAATATAATATTAAAGTAATACAACATGAGGGTGTTAAAGACAAGGACCTGTTATGATAACAACTTCATTTTTGCATCTACGCCATTCAGCTGACGCTATGGTTGCCAAGGTAATCCTGAGTGAGTGAGTTGGGTTTAACGCCGCTTTTAACAATATTCCAGTTATATCGCGGTGTGTCAGCTTAATGTGGGAGGAAAGCCCGAAGTGATGCAGGTCTCAGACGTTTACCACTTCGGTGAAACCCACGAGCACGGGTATGGTGCTGACAAACCTAGAAACATAAGCGGGGCGAACCGGGATTCGAACCCACAATCATAGGTTTCTGGCGTGCCCAAGGGACGCAACTCTGCACAGCGAATCGCGGCGCCTCAGACGACTGGGCCACCCGTGCCCCCGGGTAATCCTGAACATTATTCAGAACATCAACAAGAAATAATACAGTCAAACACCGTTGTGTCGAAGTTGAAAGGACCTACGTAAATACTTCGAGTTATCCGAGGTTTGACAAAACCGAAAATGATAAAGAAAGAAGCAATACGCAGAAACTAAGCTTTCACTTCGAGATATCCATAAGTTCGACACATCCAAGTTCGACACAACGGTGTATGATTGTATTTGCCTTTTCTGTCAGGTAAACATATGGTCATACGAAATACAACGCTTGATACTGTGTCGCTGTGTACTGAAACATGCTTCATTCGTATCATCTGGTAGAAAGAAGTGACCTTGACTGTTACGAATTAAACCACATATTCAGGGTTCTTTTGTTTAAAAGTTAGATAATTGGACTGTGCAGTGTTCTTCCAAGCTCTAAATGCCTAAAAACATTACATCAGGGAGCAGTGTGAAATTTTCTTTCGAATAAAAATCTTAAATCCTTGAGTTTTGGTTGGTTTGGTTGGTTTCTTGTTTAACGCCGCACTCAACAGTATTCCAGCCATATGACGGCGGTCTGTAAATAATCGAGTCTGGACCAGACAAACCAGTGATTAATGTCATGAGCATCGATCCACTCAATTGGGATCGATGACATGTATCAACCAAGTCAGCGAGCCTGACCACCCGATCCCGTTAGTCGCCTTTTACGACAAGAATAGTCACCTTTTACGGCAAGCATGGGTTGCTGAAGACCTATTCTACCCTTGAGTTTTAGGAGTGTGTTGGCAGAGGTAACAGGTCTGCAAGTTTTCAGTTCGTCAAAATCAAATTTTCGGGTGATTACAAGTCCTCGAATTCTCTGTCGCACCACAAGCATTGTGAAGTAAGATTCGCGTTACTAAAGAATTTCTCAACGGATGTCAACCGTTTCACTCATTTTTTGGTTTTTCATTTCCTTGGGAGTTGGGTCGGGGGATCAAACACTTACGGAATTAAGTTTCATATACTAGATAATCTTTGAATTGCTCTCTAATGTATACACAGTTTGAAGACAAGTCTGACTATGTATACTGTACGTTCATCTGGACCTATCACAATGCTGATTGTGCCCCGTGAAGATCCGGGTTGGAATAGGTCTTCTGCAACCCATGCTTGTGGTAAGAGGCGACTAACGGGATCGCTGACTAACGGGATCGCTGACTAACGGGATCGCTGACTTGGTTGATGCATGTCATTGTATCTTGATTATTTACAGGTCAGGTTAGGTGAAATGTGGTTTAGCGTCGCGTCCAAGATTATTGCACTTATATATAGCGACGTGCATGTACGTGTGTGTGTGTGTCTGCTTGTACTAGTTCGGACTGATGCCGATTTATAGTGCTAGCACACTGAGATACCATGCCGCAGTTTAACATGAATACCCCACTCAGACAGTATACTGACTCCGAGCCGACCAGGCCTTGTTTTAGCCCCTTAATGCCGAGGACCAGACAGGGTAACAACAAGTACCATGTTTTAACGTCTTGAGTATGACGCGGCCGGGAATCGAAACCACGGAGACGGTCGATTATTTACAGACCGCTGTCATTTAGATGGAATATTGGTGAGTGCGGCGTTAAACAACAAACAAATAAACTCATAATCCGCCTGTAACGAGAGGCTCCGGGGTCGCATCCTGCTCCTGAATCCAAAAGGGATAAACACCAGGGAGTGGGGGTTAAAATGTTGTGTATTTAACTCGACAGGCAGTTATGTCGTACACTGGTATGAGTGAGTGAGTGAGTTTGGATTAACCCCACTAAGAATAATGTATTATAGTTCAGTTACAGTAAACTACGTTTATAACGAACACGCTTATAACGAACTGACGGATATAACGAACTTACTTTTTTGTCCCGACTATTTGCTGTAGTTATGCTGTATATATGCTTATAACGAACTACGGTTATAACGAACTAAAATAAGTGGTCCCTTTCAGTTCGTTATAACCGTAGTTTAATGTAAATCACGGCGTGTTACATTTATGTTGAGGGGAAATCCCGAAGTGATGCAGGGCTTCGACCCACGAGCACGGGTATTATACTTAAAAACATAGAAACATTATTAGGTTGAATATGGGATTCGAACCCAAGATCATAAGCTGTGGCGCCTTAGACGTTTGTGCTTTCAGTGTGTGCCCAAGCACTAAGGCTGATATGTGTACCAATGTTCGACAGATGGCAGACTTGACATGACACAACAGAGTCAATCTGTTATTTAACACTGGTATGATTAAACAGCAACAATGTATTTTACCTGTTCCTTGGACATTTTGGCATCGAACGTGGTCTGGTCCATGATCGCCTTAACGCTAGGTTGGTTCATGTTGTCCACATCAGCCTTCTCCTTCTCCCTGTACACCAACCAACGGTATATGTTATAACGTGAACTCGACATCCGTCAAAATTCATCGATTATCCACATTAATAACTTGATCCTGGACAGTATGACAACCATTGTTGTTATTCTCTTTTCATACACAAACGAAACAAGAGAGTCATCTACACTGCCGGACAAAATAATGTACACAAATTGATGTGACCAAAAAAATTATAAACGTTATCAAAACGTTACTTGCATGAAGCTGGTCGTCGAAACAGCGCAAACTTTAGGTCCAACACATAGCTATGGTACCCTCATTATACCCAAATACATCACCATCAAATAACCATTTCTTGTTTGTTTCATTTAAGCTACCATCAAATATGGTGTATACTTTCGTATGCCCGGCAGTTTACCTTTCAACTATGTTTCCTCTTTGGGTGAGTGAGTGAGTTTGGTTTAACGCCGCTTTTAACAGTATTCCAGTTATATCGCGTCGTGTCAGCTTAATGTGAGAGGAAAGCCCGAAGTGATGCAGGTCTCAGACGTTTACCACTTCGGTGAAACCCACGAGCACGGGTATGGTGCTGACAAACCTAGAGACATAATCGGGGCGAACCGGGATTCGAACCCACAATCATAGGTTTCTGGCTTGACCAAGGGACGCAACTCTGCACAGCGAAACGTGGCGCCTAAGACGACCCGATTCCTCTTTTGAGGAGTGCGTGAGATGTATGGTGGCCGAGAGGGGACATCGCTTTTTTGCCTTCAATTATGGCCGCGAGAAAGCGAGAAAGCCATAACATGAGACGAGAAAACGATAACATGAGACGAGAAAGCGACACCACCAGACGAGAAAGCGACACCACCAGACGAGAAAGCGATACCACGAGAAGAGAAAGCGATACCACGAAATGAGAATATCGCTTACTCGTCTCGTGCTGTTGCATTCTCGCGGCCATTATTGAAAGGCGAGAAAGCGATATCCCAATCGGCCACCATAGCGATGCACAGTATATCAGTCATGTGAGAGGAGAGCTCGGTGCACGTCTCAGACGTGTACGACTTTGACGACACCGACCTGCATGTAATAGTGCTTACAAACCAAGAAACATAATCAGAACGATTCTTGGATTCGAACCCACCACATTCAAACAATTCTGGCAAGTCCAAGGGACGTACACCTTCTGATAAGCCTCATGAAGTGGGCACGGGTGGCCCAGTCGTCTAAGGCGCCGCGATTCACTGTGCAGAGTTGCGTCCCTTGGGCACGCCAGAAACCTATGATCGTGGGTTCGAATCCCGGTTCGCCCCAATTATGTTTCTAGGTTTGTCAGCACCATACCCGTGCTCGTGGGTTTCACCGAAGTGGTAGACGTCTGAGACCTGCATCACTTCGGGCTTTCCTCCCACGTTAAGCTGACACGCCGTGATATGACTGGAATACTGTTAAAAGCGGCGTCAAACCAAACTCACTCACTCACTCACTCATGAAATGTTTCTCCACGCGGCGTCCACCAGGATATATTACTCACACTTTCTGACAAGCCTCTGTGTAGTGTTTCTCCATCTGCTCTACAGTGACCTTGATATCTACCAGTTGGTCCCGCTTTATCTGGAAAGTGCCCACAGAGTTCCTGGACTCGTGTTCCCGGATCCTTTTCTCCAGGTCGATATATTTCCTGAACATAGCCATAATGTCCTCTTTAGAGTTAGCCTGAAACATAAAAAACAGAATATACCTCTATCCGCTGAATGGTTTACCGAACACATGATTTAGTTGATCCAAAATGCCCCTGAAAACGAATTCAAGGATTTAAATATAACACGTCAACACTCAAGAATCACCAGGCTTGATTATCCGACGAAACAAGTTCCAAATCAAAATAGAGGTGAAAATTATATGAATGGATCACTGAAAATCAGTGATGACACCAGGTGTTCGCGAAACAAATGTGTGCTGTAGGGTTCTTGAAATGCAGAAATTCAAATTTTCGTATCCCAGACCGCCATCCCATACTCAATATCACCATTTTATCCATTAAAAAAACCCGTCAATGCAAGAGAGTAACCCGTCTTAATTATCCGTAAAAACAGATTCCATTTGGAGTAAAATAGCTGTAAAAATTATATGAATAGATCGCTGAAAATCAGTCATGACACCAGGTGTCATACTAGGTTCTTTGAGGTTAAGATGACATTTTTGTTCATTACGAGGAGTACAAACACAAAACACCGAAATTTACGCGGAACACATTTTGGTTTTGGTTTTTTTGCAGGGTTGCACAGGCTGACCTGTTGTTGTTGTTGTTCTTGCTGCTGCTGCTGCTGCTGTTGTTGTTGTTGTTGTTGTTGTTGTTGTTGTTGTTGTTGGAATGCTGCTTGTTGTTGCTGCTGTTCAAGACGACGGCGCTCTTCCTCTTGCTGTGCAGCCAACTGTATTGTTAAAAATATCATTACATTACTAACACATGTTTACATAAAAGACATCCTCGATTATCCAAGGATTTAAATTCCCATTAAGGGGCGGTGGGATAGCCTAGTGGTTAAAGCGTTCGCACGTAACACCGAAGAACAAGGTTCGATTCCCCACATGGGTACAATGTGTGAAGTCCATTTTTGGTTCTCCTTCGCTGTGATATTGCTCAGATATTGCAAAAAAGCGGTGTAAAACAATACTCACTCACTCATCTCCATTCTGGTGTGATAAATACCCTGAACACATTCACGACCAAACTTTAGTCTCGGAAGTGACGTCACTATCTCAATCTCTTTTATCACTAACTTAGCACACAATTTCTCTCGCTCATGAGTGTCATTTGATTGGACGGCTATTCTTGACGTCACGTAATTTAAATCGGGCTCAAAACGTAGCTATAGTATCGAGCGGACCGAGAGTGGTTAGTGTATGTCGCCTGCCCTTGCCCTGCTGGTCGAAGTAATGAGTTCAATGGCATGGCAATTCTGGGAGTAAAAATAAGGCCACCGGAGAAGCCGTGATTGCCTTATGGTATTTTAAGAGCATCGGAATGTGTGTACATTGTAGTTACAACTTACAATTTTAGGGTCGTGTGTCTGCGTCTGTTGTTGTTGCTGCTGTTGCTGCTGTGGTGGGACGTTGGCGACGGGTCTGTGGGGTTGCTTCGGATACCCTTGGGTCGGAGGGGCGTGGCTGGCTGGCGATGATGTGCTGCACCCCATAGTAAATCAGTTCTGGAACACACAAACCACCGGTTAAGTTACGTAGAAGTGGCCTAAGGCGCCCGTAATCGTGCAGAACTCATTTAGCGTATCCCCGTGGCGTAGATCGATGCTCATGATTTCAATCACTGGATTGTCTGGTTCAGACTAGATTATTTACAGACAGGCGTCATATAGCTGCAATATTGCTGACCTCGGAGTTGAACAACAAACAAAAACGAAAAATAAGCTGCAAATGGCATGTTCAACTGACCCAGATATTTCTTCTTGTTTTTGAAATACCTACGTGTATTGTCAAGCAGATAAAATACAAAAATTAAAAAGACGCCCACGCACACGCACACGCACACGCACACGCCCACGCCCACGCACACGCACACGCACACGCACACACACACACTGATTTATTTGACACCCATCCACTCAACCACTGTATGCAGAAATTCAAATATTCGTCTCCCATACCGCCAATCCCATACTCCATATTACCATTTTATCAATTCCAAATACAAACAACGTAAATGTAAGAGAATAACCAGTTTTGAGTATCCGCCAAACAGATTCCATTTGGCGGAGGAGCGGTCGGGTAGCCTAGTGGTAAAAGCGTTCGCTCGTCACGCCGAAGACCCGGGTTCGAATCCCGACATGAGTACAATGTGTGAAGCCAATTTGTGGTGTCCCCCGCCGTGATATTGCTGGAATATTGCTAAAAGCGGCGTAAAACCATACTCACTCACCCCCATTTGGCGGAACGGGCGAAATAGGTATGAAAATTATATGAATAGACCACAGAAAGTCACCAGGAGGACATTAACGCATATATGTAAGATTTTAGGCACATAGCCCCGCATATTATCGTGTCTAATGTGACTACCAGAATTGCAGGCACACAGCTCCGAATATACTCCTGCCCGTGATGCTTGCGCGGTGATAGCATTAACTCTTCCCAGGATGCCATCCCGAAGTGTAGATTGACGCGTTAATTCTTCGTTTACATAGTCTGATATACAGCCCCTGCCTGACACGTACATCGGAACTCTAGCTTAAGAATTGATTGGAAACAGACACGGGACAAGATACCCTCACCTTTGACCCCAGTCGGCAGGAAATGCTGACAGTGCAGTTTTGTCAGATTTTATTATTCGTGTCTAGTATGTTTGAACTGTATCTCGATCCCAGGCACTGTAATCAGAGAGGGGGCAGCTTTGATATGGACCTCTATGGTTGTAACAGACAGCGGAGAACCGAGGGCCGTCATTAGATCTGGCGCGCTGGGAACACTCGTACACTATATTGTATTACTGAAATCAATATTTCGGTTTGATATTGCACTCCCTGGTGTACGGCATGGTCGTTGGGATCTTTTCCATAACAATTTTTATATAATGGCATAAAATGTCGTCGTTATCATCATCGTCATCATCTTTATTATCGTTTTAACCAACATCATCGTCGTCGTCATCATCAGCGTCGTCAACAACATCATAAGCATCATCATCGTCATTTCAGGTTTTTATTATCATTATAATCATCATCATTACAAAACACCATCGTCACAGTCAGATAAACCCGACGAACCAGTGATTGATATTATGAGTCACGATCCACGTCGCCGGTGTACGATCACACACAATCTTCAAATCACGGAGCCCGAGTTCATCTAGGCTCCACAAGCAGTGGAATACTAGGGTATATCATAACTTCCGTCTCCACGGCTGTGGGCGGTGAATATGAAACATTAACACAAGCGACTGTATGCCATTATAGGATATACTAAAAACTATCTTCTCTCTGTATAAGATATATCAGAGTGACGATAGAGGATGATGTCTCCACGTTTGATGACAGACATTCAAAGCCAATTTCAATCAACAAATCTCTTGTCAAGCACTTAAGTGAGTGAGTGAGTGAGTATGGTTTTACGCCGCTTTTAGCAATATTCTAGCAATATCATGGCGCGGGACACCAGAAATGGGCTTCATACATTGTACCCATGTCGGGAATGGAACCCGGGTCTTCGGGTTGACGAGCGAACGCTTTAAGCACTAGGCTACACGACCGCTCCTCAAGCACTTAAGAGGCCACAGGCGACTAACGGGATCGGGTGGTCAGGCTCGCTGACTTGGTTGATGCATGTCATCTCATCGCGTGGATCGATGCTCATGATGCCAATCGCTTGATTGTCTGGTACAGACTCCATTATTTACAGATCGCCGTCATATAGCTGGAATATTGCTGAGTGCGGCGTAAAACAACAACCAACCACAGTGCAGTACATACAAGTAAAGAGTGGTTTTCATCCTCTCTATCTTGGCTGTTACACATTTTACATAATCGTTCTGAATTTGGAGCCAATTTAATAACTTTATTCGAAAAATTTCAGTTCAGTTGTGTGTACCGATGCTCTGTGATTATAGTTACCCAGGCATCTCACACTCGATACAAAGTGTCCAGATATAAACAGTGTATGTTGGAAGGCAAGCACTTCCACTTTACTCCCTCCCAGAGTCAAGGACAGGCCATGGCAGTGCGTGAGTACACTGGGTATAGTAGGCAAACACGAATCATTCAAAGCCGTCTCACGGGAGAAGGACTACACCCATGACTACATTGAACAATGGACCGTACGGCCTCATCCGAGTTAACACACCAACAAGACTTCAGGTGATGAATTTGTCATCCTCATCGTCTCTGAAGGCAAAATGGGGGACTGTCTGGAGGAATTGCGATTGTGTCGCGTTGGGGTCTGTGGAGTGTCTGATGTAATTCAGAGAGCATTTGATGGGGGAAGTGAGATTGTGGCTGGTATCAGCGGGTTATTTTACCGCTTTCACAAAAGAGCTCACTGTCTTAGCACAATTTGTGTCGTAAGTAAGATAGCGTCGCGAAAGGTTTACGGCAGTTTCAAGAATAGCTCTTATAGCAATCGTATTTTTGTTGTACATGGCTCAGATTTGTCTTATCTTAGACAGCTTCGTGAATAGGCCGTCAGGTTTTTAACATAGACAGTCGTAGCGCTAAGGCAAGCGTAACTCAAAGACTTTAACATAGACTTACGACAGTCGTAGCGCTAAGGCGAGCGTAACGCGAAGACTTTAACATAGACTTACGACAGTCGTAACGCTAAGGCGAGCGTAACTCCAAGGATTTAACATAGACTTACGTCAGTCGTGGCGCTAAGGCGAGCGTAACTCGAACACTTTACACTGTCGCAAGTCTATGTCAACGTATTGGAGAAACGATCACCTTAGTGCTACGACTGTCGTAAGTCTAAGTTAACGTATTGGAGTAACGATCGCCTTAGCGCTACGACTGTCGTAAGTCTATGTTAACGTATTGGAGTAACGATCGCCTTAGCGCTACGACTGTCGCAAGTCTATGTTAACGTATTGGAGTAACGATCGCCTTAGCGCTACGACTGTCGTAAGTCTATGTTAACGTATTGGAGTAACGATCGCCTTAGCGCTACGACTGTCGTAAGTCTATGTTAACGTATTGGAGTAACGATCGCCTTAGCGCTACGACTGTCGTAAGTCTATGTTAACGTATTGGAGTAACGATCGCCTTAGCGCTACGACTGTCGCAAGTCTGTGTTAACGTATTGGAGTAACGATCGCCTTAGGGCTAGACTGTCGTAAGTCTATGTTAAAGCATGGGAGTTATGATCATCTTAGCGCTAGACTGTCGTAAGTCTATGTTAACGTATTGGAGTAACGATCG